ATTTAAAAAATAAAAACCTCACCATATATTCAGAGTACAATTTCATTCTTGTATCCAGTAAAGTATTCTCTTTACTCAAAAACATCTTCAAGGACTAGTTTATCAGCAGAAAGAGGCTTATGATATAGCTGTCTTTTCACTGAGAAGGAAAAGAACCCGAACTTCAACTGGCTTTAAAAGAGTCCCAAACTTGAAGAGAAGCAGCTTTATGTCCATTGTTGATACAAGACAAATATTTGATACAATGCAAAGCTAAATGCAAATGTGACTCAATTTGACAATGTCAAATACACTACCTAAATGGAAAGGTCAAATAACTATGCACACATTTTAAACTGAACCCTCAGTTTTGATGACAATATATTAGAAAGACATGTTTTTCTAGTGTTTTCTTCCACTGTGAACTATGACTAAAAGTGTGTATTAGCCTATCAATGCACTGCCCTGACACCTGTTTCAATGTAAACCTAAAGCACTTTCTTCTGCTTCCAGAAAGTGAATCACCAACTTTTTTCTTTTGTAAGTAATACTTTGCACATACAGCACCTTCTGCCTAAATTTTCAGAAGTGGGAAATGTCTCTCTATACCTTTGGGAGACCAGAAAATGTGAAGTGAGAAAGAGAGAAATGTGTTAGGTTCCCAGCAACCTAGGGAAAGTCAGAGAAGATGTAAAGAATCAATTCCAGTTCATCCCTCTGCTAATGTGTTGCTGTAGCTATTAAACCTTACCCTCTTCATATTAATAACAGTAAGTCAGTGGAGAGTTGCCTGCCCAACTCATGGATCTACTGCTTTTTTATGTTTTCCCAGTGTTCTCCAGAGAACAATAGACTCATAGGTTTCCTTTGGAATAGTCACAGGCGGGTTAAAAGAAGAAACCCCAAACACTGTGTGATATTCATGGGTCTATACATTTGGTGGAGCTCTTGGTTTTGCCAGCAGGCAGATGGGTAGAAATCAAAGACTGTTCAATCACTTAGCTTTGCGGCTGCTTCCAGATTAAATACTCTGGGAATTTGCCTTTGTACTGGAAAATGCTGGAATTAATTTTGCTTTTACAATTGCATTAACCATGGTCAGTGCTTCATCCCCTGTCACCAAAGGACAAGAGAAATTTTCTGCCATGGATGAGTCAGAGTTGTCATGCGCAAAAACCTTGCTTTTGGCAGATCTTCATAATCAAGCCCATTTCTCATTATCATGGATGCTACAGCATACAGCATTGTTTCCTCTGCTTCACCAGGTGCTTCAGATCCCTGCCTTTTTAAAAGTCCCAACTAACTTGTCGCAGGGGCCCAAACTGCTGCACGTGTCTAAGACTGGAACATTTTAGCACTTTACAGCCTACTCAAACTGGATCGTTGTACATGTGTCTCTGGTCTGCCTGGGCACATGAATCACCCTTTAAATGAGAACTCTTATTCACCATTATACCACTTCAATGCTATAAAGGCAACTAGATGTTTCATTTACAATTGGGTTCTGAATCCTGGCCTTGAGGATCTCATTCTGGTTTTAATTTCTTGAATACTTTTGTTTTGAATATATTGTCAATGATTGAAAGCGTATACAGGGTGGGAAGGGAAAAGACAGCAGAAGAGTCACCACATTACATAGCTTGTGAAAGGCTGGAACAGGATGGCTGCTGTAGAACAATGCACATTTAGAAAGGCACGGAGCCTGTGCTGGCAACTTTAGGGAGTTTAAAGTGATGTGGATATAATATGTCCCCAGCATGAGGCTGCATTACTCTGCCAGAGTACTGCAAGGAAGAAATACTGCCAAAGGGTAAATACAGAAAAGTTCTCAGTATGTCATTGAACATGGAAGCTATGAAAAAGTCATAGACAATGCTTTGTTGTTCCAAATACAGGAGGGGTAGGGCTGATAAAGGATGGGCATTACTCTCTTCCACTACCCCTGCCCTTATATATGTTGACAGAGCTGTCTCTATGGCCCTTTTATAGATAGCACTGCAAGGACAGCTTCCAGAGTTGCTTCATACACCCCTTGACCTCCCTGAGTCTTTTCATAGGGAGAACCTTTGATGCCAGCATGGCAAATAGTATTTATATTGCTTGAGGTCTTTGAAATGGGCTCCATGGCCTTTGTGAACAGATACTCCAGTGGCAGAGGTTAAATGAGAAAAATATTTTACAAAATACATACACACATGCAAACACATATATGTACAGATAGGTAGATGAAAGGCCAGACTTTTGTTCTGAGTTTGAAAAAGAGGTTGTAGGTACTTGATTAATAAGAGCTCATTTATCTCTAGTAGTTTTTACTGGTGTCATTACCTCGGGGAGGTGGCACAACTTTAGCACTGCATGATAACACAGGGACCCATCATGAGTAAAAGGTCACAAAAAGGAGGAAGAGTAGATTCACACTGACTGTCATGTATGTAAATTTAATAAAACTGGAGCACTGATTCTTCTCACTTTACATACATGACTACCAAATTTCTACTAAACTACTTCCTTATGTGAGACCTATTTCTTTCTGACACTGAATATGGTTTGGTCAGGAGTTACCATTTTAGAATTCATCGTGTTGTATTTTAGGCACTTGTTAATTTACTGTAAGGCTTTAATTATGTTATACTCCTAGTGTATTTGCAAAAAAAAAAAAACAACCCCAAAACACTCCCCCCCCCCAAAACAAAAAAACCCAACCCCAGGAATGTGCAAATTTAATTTATTAGATCTAAAAAATCAATTAAATGGCAGAAGCACTATAGATGTTCCTTGCTGGGCAGTTGGCTAATAGGTTGAATTGCTCTGAAGGTTGTTCCCAAATATTGGTTTTGATCTGTGGCAGGAATCCAAACTAAACTTACATGTGTTTCTACTAATGTAGTAGTATAGCGATTACTCAAATCAGGGAAATAGGCTACCTAAACTTAGGCATTCCAAAGCTAAGCTGAAGCCTACAGAAGATGATGGGGGTCAAACCTCCGTTAGTTTCCTTTTGCACTGAATTTATTTTCTTCATCAGGGTAGGCCTTCAGTATACAAGAAATAGGGTGGGATTTTTTACAAAAGTGTATGTTATATTAGGGGTTTTATTCACTGAATTGCAGAAGAAAAGGGGGTAAGGCAAATAATTTGTGGGAGGAAATCCTACAGAGAACCAACCTTAGAAATAATGAAGTTAGTTGGAGAAACATTTGCTAATGTTCCTATAGTAGACCAAAATATCTGAGCCTTAAGGAGAGGTGTGAGGAGCACAGGGGACGCAGAGGAAGGAAAACACACAAGCAGAGGAAACAGGCTGTTTGGAAGGTTGCTATTTTAAAATGGCCTCAGTACTATACTTCAAAGAACAATCCAGTGTTACTATTCAAAGAAAGCAATAAAAACTGGAAAAGAGTGAGAAATTAGGGGAGAATAGTTTCTTTTTACTCATTTGTCATCTACTTCTGTGAAAATACCTACTTTCCGGTTTATTTAAATATGAATGTCTACCCAGAAAAGCATGTAACAATGACTTTGCTCATAAGCTTAGACAGAGACTTGAACAGATGTTAATAATGTATACGGCTTTAGTGAAAGCTGTTGTTGTTTAGATCCCATACAAATAAAAAGCATTGCTATCACCTGTCATAATACCCTGCATTGTTGTACAGTCCATTAGAGCGATTGGCCGACTCAGTGCAAGAATTCAAAGGCTGTTTATCTCGATTAGTTAAAGACCTGTAATTACAGCAGTTTGACCTCGAGGAAGGTAATTACTCCACAAAAGCTCTCTACAGGAAACCAGACATTAGCCTTGGCTAATTAGCTTGACATTCACAAGCTGCCTGTATCAGAATGCAGATGGTTTGGCAACACCAGCATGCAAACAGTATCTACAAATGCTGCATGAGCAACCCCCAGAAAAGCAACTGCCTGTCAGTGATGCATAAGAGAAAAATTATTTTATAATTTTATAACTTGCTTTAAGAAAGATCCTTTATTCCAGAGACAATTTCCCATGGAGGAAGATGGATGAAGCGGATGGCAGCCTGGGAGACTGACTCAATTTATTATGGAAAAAAGTAGATGAGGCTGGTCCTGTAAACTTTTCTGTTATACCTGGTACTTCTGACAGTGATTAGTCTTCTTGTGCCTATTGGCACATTCTTCAGTCCTTCCTCTTTTCAATGTCTATAGGGTTTATATTTAGGATGCAGTAGATTCCCTACAGATGGTCCAAATACATCTCAGCATCAATTTATGCTAAAAGTTTCATCATTTGCACACAAAATAAAACTTGAGTTTTGGTTTGGATTTGCAGTTCCAACTTCCACAGATGTATAAATAATGATTCAATTAGTTCTTTAGAGACATTTTAACATACTAAGCATGTAGCTCAAATAAGCTCTGAGTTAACTTTTTTTTAAAAAAAGAAAGAAAATTTAGAATTATTTATTTAGTATCCTTCCCAAGTGACAGCCACATTTTAACCTATATTTCAATTTCTTTTTTTCAACATAGTTTTATACTGCATGTCTTACCATGTTACAGATCTGATGTTGTTTACATAACAAAATAAAAAAATCACCATTTGGCAGCATGACAATCTGTGGTGGGCCTAGACACTGGAATGCCAAACTTCCTTCTATTTCTCTAGAAACTACAGAACAAGTGTTTCAGCAAATGATCAACCTGTGAATCTGGGTGGTAGCCCAATAACCCACCTCAGTGCCTTAGCCCTGCTCTAAAGGCATGATCATGAGAGATGAGCTAGCCACTTAGTCCTCTGCATATTCAGTGTGCCCCATCACACTGTTGGGGTGTCCATTTGGGGTAGCATCGGATTCTGCCAGCTAGAGATTACAGCAGCAAAACATCTCATCAAGAAGGGCTGGCACAAAACAGACCATTTGCCATGTCTCTGATTAAATGGTAACCCCTGATTTGCATCTGGATCAAACAGCAGTTTTGTCCAGACCTTGCTAAGATCTGGACGAGTGAGGTCTCTTTTATGGTTCTAACTTTTCTCCTAATGTCTTTGGGAAGCCCGACTCCATCTTTACATGTCTCTGCTCCAAACATTACATACAACTGGTAAGTGGTCTGGTGGAAACAGAGACAGCACGCAGTTTCCTGCTGCCGCCAGGTAAAATTACTCTCTGAACCTCAGGGAAAAAGTATTTGAGATCTAAACTTGAAATTGCCCTAAACCAGCCACTGTCCTTTGCAGTTTTACTGGAAGATAACCATGTCACACATATAAGTGGTTCTAGGTTTAGATTCTACATTAAAATTGCCGTGTTACTAAGGAAAGAATGGACCTTTGGAGAATTCATCCACACAATTTTCGTTAATTATTTTAAAAACTATTTTAAAAATAATAAATATTTTAGAAATATTTTATATTAAAACAACATTTTATAATATGTTACAATGTATATAAAGGTTTGAGGATCTTACTAGTAAAAATGTAGACACAGAAGTTCAAGTTATGAGATATATTTGTACAGCATGCCTAAAATTTATAATATGGTAGGTATCATGGTGAGAAGCAAGATAATAGCTATATATAAATAATAGAAACATACCTGCTTTTCCTTTTTGTATTAAAAATGTTTTATTTAATGTCAGAATATTTTATTATCTCAAATGCAATTTTAAAAGCAAAATGTTACAATGTCATTTTGTGCTTCCTGCCACAGACATTTTTTTGTGATGGAAGACATGCTTCACAAATAAAGAAAGGATCCAAAGGAGGATGAGTCAAAAAAAATGGAGTGAGTTATTGAAGGGCTGGTAAATGAGTGTTCATGGGTCTTACTGGGAAACATTCCCTCCTGCTTTTTCTGTCTGTCTTTGAATGTCACAGTATTTAGCTTTCCATCAGCTAAACTACTTCTGCTATGCCTTCTGTGATTGTCCATAAACTTAATGGAGGAAAGGACTAGATTATCTTGCAATTTCTATGAGATGCAGATGAAATGGAGAACAGGGAAGAATAAATCCCCCCTGTGGAGTAAAATATGTTTGTTGTCCTTTCTTTTAACTAATTCTTTTGCATCTGCAAGATGTGAGATGGATGACGAATGCTGGAATAAATATTAACAAATGTACTTCTCTTGTGTTTATTTATCATTCACTTATTTTTCAGTCTCAGCACAAGCAGTCTTTTATTGCTCAACTGAGTGATACCTACATTTGTTAACTGTTGTTTGAATCGCTGTAAAAGTAAAAAACAAAACAAAATATGTGTACAAAGGATGCTTTTGTTGCACTGAAAAATGTCAACTAGCCCTGCGGAAGAATGTGCTAACCAAAAAATATTTGCTGATATATAGGCAATCATTTGACAAACAAAATGAATGTTCTTACCCTCACCATTCCCAGCACCTATTTTTTTCTCCAGATTTCCCTCTCTATTGCATTAAGGAATCTTTAGAAATGTCATTATATTGTCCATTACTTTCACAGATATTCACAGCATATCTCAAATTTGATGCTTTTGCAGGCAGGTCCAGAATCTGCAGAGGCACATTTACATTGCTCCATGAAGACTATGGAAATGCAGAGAAGGACCTGGTCTTTGTCTCACGCAGCTGCAGTTTTCTGTGGAAACAATTAATCATCACTGAACATGGTACTGGTGGTGTTATGCTGCCAGCACTATCAGAGCTAGCTGGTCTAATCCTGACTCACATGTGTCTCACGATGTTCAACTATTTTTCTGGTTATAGCACAGATCAATCTCAAAGAAAATGCAAGGATTGTAAAACAAATTTTGACAAAACACAGCCTGTCCACAATCCTTCTCAACCTCCCCTTCCAAGCATTTCTGGTCTGTTGGTCTGCCAGAAATACCCCTTCCAAGGCCATAAAAAGAGTGTCTCCGCTGTGGTACACACAGGTACAATAGTGCAGCTATAGGTCACTTTCTTAGAGTAGAGAGAAAATGAAGACCTATACTACTCACAAAACCCCACAGGAAGAACAACAAAATAATTTCTCCTTGTCTGCCCTTAATTAGGTCTCTTGCCTTAATTATGATTTATTCTTGCCTTAATTCTGACTCATGGCAACTCCTCTCAATGTAAGAACATCCTGAAAGTAAATAAATGCTCCTATGGCTGCTTGAGATTTTGGGGAGGGAGGGAGGGAGGGAGGAGCAAAAGATAAGGGTGGCTCTCAACCACCAAGTGGTGAATTCCTCCCAGCGTGAAGCATTTCAGGAAAGCAAAGGGGTAATAGAAGCTGTAGAGGCTCAGGACTACAAAGTTGTGTGAATTCTTGATCTTCTAGGTAGCATTGCCACCTCTTACAGTTCCCTCACCTGGCCTCACCTGGCCTCCAAATCCTATGCTTCATGACATACCCAGAATCATGAATAACATCCTTGCAAACACATAGACATCAATACAGTCTTCCTGCATGGCACTGAAAGTCCACAAAGCAGGACTTAAAAAATACATTGTGTGCCAACGCTGAAAATGAACATGCTGGTGAAGGTACATTTTTCAATTTCTCAGTTCCGTTCCATGCCATGAAGTTTCACAGGACTGAGCTGCCTCCAAGGCCTAAGGGACAGTATTATGGTGAAATGGGAAAAGGACACATATCTACTTTCCCACTCCACACAGCCATGGAGTTTAAGTCTACCTGCTTTCTAGATGCTCCAGCCCAGGCAAAAGAAGAGGAGCAAGCATCTGCAGTTTTCCAAATTTAATCAGTCCTTATTCTTGACAGTCTTTGCCAAAAAGGCTACCAAATACAGTGGTGGGGCATGAGGAGCTTGGGGATGAGGGAGGAAAGTTGGATATGGTTATTTTTCCTTCAGGAAACAGGCTAAATCCCAACAAATAGCCACTGGAACCAAACTAGTGGCGCTGAGTGTGATGCCTCCCAAGTTTGATGTTGGAAAGGTAGCTTGTTATGCACATGGAATAAAAAACTGTATCCTGAAAAAACACAGAAAGCAAATATTTAAAGAAAAAGAAGCACAATGAAACAAATGCCTTGTGTTTATATTTTCATGGGCCAGTGCCAAGTATCTCTCAGCCTGTTACCCATCTAATGTTCAGTGTACCATATGGTTTTTAAACCAGTGGATTAAACTCCTTCATGGTTGTGAAAAACATCAGTGTGTTTGTTCTGGATTTCCTCTTCCTGCATTTGTTGTTAATTTTCAAGTTTCTCACATCCCTCTGTCAATTTCTGTCTGTTTACATGTTTTAGATTTCTGATGGAATGTATCTATTGCTCTTACCATCACTCAGGATCTGTTGCCCATTATCACCAGGAACATCAAATGTCACTCAGACATATTTTAGCGGACATTTGAAAACACAGGCCAGGAGTATCTGTGGTATCTTTTCAGTCACAAGTTCCTTGATATCTGCTTAAAGCACCATCTCCCTTCAAAGAGAGGAAGACTGTCAAGTCTCAGCCTTTGTTCAAAGCTCAGGAAAAGTCTTAATACAAATCTTTTTTGAATGAGGAAGCATAAGAAGCACAGACTCCTAATTCTAACTTAGTCTCACAGCTATTTTAGCTGCATACTTCACTTTGTGACATTCAGTGGTCAAGCATCATGTCAGAAGCTAGCTAGGGAGCTGGTTTTTTGCATATCTCTGCATAGCTGGAGAAGCACACATCTCCTGAGTCACAGAAGATCAGCCCTTGAAGACACAACCACCAGTGCCACCCATTTTACCTCCTCTGCTCTCATCTGCCAAATGGAAAAAGGGGTTCTGTTAACTCCCATTCATATAGGCCTATAAATTAAACAGCAACACTAATATAAGGCACCGCTTTAAAAGTCTTTAATATTACAGATATCTGTGCTGAGGCTTAGGGAACTTGGTTGAAGCATAAGCATTTTCTGTGTGGTTTCAAATTTCCCTGGAAGTAGAAAATATGAAGCACAAAAAGAACTAGGGTAAATAATAGCAGAACTGCTACCCTCCTTTTGAATGTATAAACACTTGGTGGCACATTTGTAATGACATGCAGTAAATATTCTGGACACTGTGTTTGTTAGTGAAAACCTGGTTGGAGCAACAAGTGTAGGCACACTTTGATTTGTAAATATGACTGTTCTCTGCAGGAATTCCTTTGTCAGGGAGTCACTCACCCTCACTTGAGATGTACAAGTATGCATCATGCAGCATGCATGTCAAACATCACAAAATATTAGGCACTGGGTACCGTCATTTCCAACTCTGAGATCAGCCTTGCCCACACATTTCCTGTTCCATTGCAGGTACAGTTCTCAGATGGATGTTTGATTGCCTCCGCCCTCAGACATGGCTGGACACCTCATGTCAATATGAACCTGCAGCCAGTCCATGGGATGCTGTCAACTTGCTCATTAATGGTGAGAAAAACAACGAGGCTGTCACTTTGAACTGCAAGAGTAATCTTTTTCAGTGTTAGATGGCAGGTGAAAGCTCATTTTTGATGTGAGGGCAAGCAGTGAGCTGTGTCTAAATATTCTGAATATGCATTCACTTACTTGAAAAGCTCTGACTTGGCTTACACAATGTGATAAATGTTTGGTTGTCACACTACCAAACCTGGAAAAGTCTACATCTCTTGCTGGGAACCAAGACAATCGGAAAAATGTAAAAAATTCATTGTTTCAAGTAGGAAAACAAAGTGAAAACCTTCTCACATATTGTGGCTTGAAAGAATATTAACTGGTGCTCAGTTATTCCTAAGTGCTTAGTACCGAACTCCCTATTGATTTCAATAACATGTCTGCTTCCTGTGGAAACCAGACTCTTGATTTTTTTTGAGGAGTTGGCCTATCTTTCTTGTAGTCTGAGCCTTCTACAGAATATAAGGCATCAAAAGCTGTTTTGACGTAAGTACTTTGCTTTGGCATTTTTATGCTGCCCCCCATCAAGGACTGGGAGTGTTCCTAAAACTGTCAGTCAAAATCTGGATCAAAGACCAACTGTCAAGTCTCAATGATACATCAGTGCCTAGTTCCCATTGCTTTCCAGAGCAAACAGCAGCCCACATGTTCCTGTTGTCCTGCCCTGCTCAGCCTTCACCGTTGACGAGATAGATAACTGTGGAGAAAACCTTCTTGCCCAAACCACATCAAGCTCAAAGCCCACTACAGATTTAGGCTTTCCTTTCTTCCCTTTGACCCTGTTTTGCATGCTGTCAGTCAGTAAAAGATATAACAGCACAGATTCTTTTTTGGAAGAAAGTCTGAGCATAAAGCCTCTGAACTTCAGAGTGGTGAAAAAAAAAGATCTCGGTGATCACTGGATGCAACAGTTACAGAGCAGACACAGCGCCACAGCATTTAGCAGGGCAAGGCACTGTGATATCTTTCTTCAAAGTAATCTACTCCCAGTGTCCATGACAGATAGAACACAACTGGATACAAATCATAGCAAGAGAGATTTGTACCTGATTTTAAGAAAGCATTTCTAATGGTAGGGCTGGCAAAGCACCAGCATGAATCATCAGGGAAGGGTGAGAATTCCCAGCACTGAAGGGTTTTAGGAATGAACCCAGTCTAGCAAATGTCAGTCAGGAATAACATAATTCTGTGAGATATTTGGGTCTTACCAAGCTTCTCTGCCTATGAATGAACTTTTCAAAAGTAAGCCAAGCCTTTACTCTGCACAACTAGGCACTGAAACACTAGGACTTTGGGGGAGGAAGAATATCCTTTAATCACCAGACGACAAATCCCATCAGCCTCACACCAACTTTGAGCACAATCAGGGCCCAGCTCTTAATGCTGTTGAA